GGAAAATACTTCCAGTAAAATAACGGGAAAAGTCTAGTAAAAGCAGGAATTGAAGAAGGTACATTAAGGAAATGTAAATAACGACGTTAAGACCCCATTATTTAGTAAAGATGCTTTTACCGCAATTCTCCAGGCTTGTCACCAACGCCACCTGGTTTCTTTAAACTAAAAAGTTGTGTATATGCAAAGTTGCTTAGAGAATCGGGTTACGTGGTTTTATTTTCGCATACATATAAAAATATAAAGGATATTGTACAGTATGGAACAAGCATTTTTTTTAAATTTTACCAGCGACTCTCTCATCTGCTCTCGTCTGTAAGTCCAATAGTTTTTTCTAGTGCTTCAAGATGTAAATAAAAAGTTGTCTCAAATTGACTGCTTTCCCAATTGCAGTAGGTTTTCCTGCTTTTAAAAGACCCGTTAAATCGACATAGTTTAAGAAGTTTCTACTGTTCGATTATGCATTCAGAGCACATACATCTGATTTCTTGGGGCGCCTTGATAAACTTTCAAATACTTTTTGTTTTCGAAAATCTAACATTCTTGGTAGAAACTTTGTGGAAAGTAACCAATCTTCTGTGTCTAGATAGCTCGCCCAGTGTGTTTTGACACAAATATAGCGATGGGGGTTAAAAACTTTATAAACGGGGATTTTCGAGTATTAATCGCGCCGTAAATATGGCTTACGGTAGTTTGATACAGTTGACGAATGGTTTTGATATATTTTTTTATAGTTGTTCTTATTGGTATAAGGGAAGCAATTGCCTTGTTTGGTGAGTGATTCAGTCAGATTGTCATAGACTTACCTTTTTTATCATCTTATGACAGGGTTTTCAATAGATTATAGTTTTTATATTCTATTCGTTATTTTATTTTTGTTTGAAAATTAGCATTTTATGTTGGCAACGTCTGCCATTTGGCCAGACAAATGCGATATTTGCACTTGAAATATTGTATGTTTTGCAAATTAGCTGAGCATAAGTTTCACGTTGAACGTACAAAAGATTAAAAAATCTGAACATATCTCCTGATTTAATGCATGTCTTCTAGAATATTTTGAAAACTAAATTGAGGCAGTTTTGGTTTCATTCAAGATCATATTGTATGCAAAATGCTGTATCGCAGAACTTTTTTAGCGCTTTGGTAGAACAGCACGCTACTTATTAGAAAATACTATTTTCAGTTTTTCTTATCTAAAATGAAAGGTTAGTTCAAAATTTAAATACTCCTTTCTGGATCTTCCTCTAACTTGTCTCATATTTTTTGCTGAATTTTATTTTTTAGGGTATTTTCACTACATTAATTGATAGGGTCGAAACTGAGATGTGGTATTTAATATTTTTAGTGTCATTGTCGTGGTGCGAAAAGCGGATAAAAAAGTGATACCATCAAATGATAGAGAAAAGACAAATTTATTATTAAAGGGTTTAAGCAGTTCGTTCGGTTTTAATTAAATTAAAATTTCAAACGTGGCGTTGTTCTCGGAAGATTCAGCTTTATTAAAACTTTGCTAACGACGCGAGCTGCGGGATTCCTTTGGATATATTTAATTTAAGACACCGCATGATTGCGAGACTCACACCTCCGGCTTAAGAACGTAAAATTCTACGAGATGGCTTGAATAGTTGAAGTTTCCGCGAGTAATCAACGAAAATTGGCAGTATTTCAGCGATTTTCATTTTGGGCGATTTATCGGTTATGCCGGTGCTGCTTTATTTTAAGCCAAGCGTTTTATCATTTGGATAGTGGTTTTAATATAGGCAATTAGTTAATAGCCACAAAACTGCAGCGTAACTGATAGTAAACTATTTACAAGGATAACTGCACGTAGTTTGATTTTCGTCTAAAAATTAACAGATTATTCAATCTTTTGCAATGATAAAATTAGAAATATCTAATTACAAAATTATTATGAATTACTAAAATTAGTAACATGTTATTAAAGTAAATTTTTCCTTGTTCAATCGGGTGTTTCCAGAAATTAAAAAATATTTAAAAGTACAATAGAGCGAATAAAAAAGCATGTTTATCTCATCATCTTGAATCAATAATTCTATAACAGTCATGATTGTAATATTCCGTTTTATACTTATATGATTGTTAATTTTTAGAATTGTTGAGCGTTTCGATGAACCACATTCCTTTTGATTATCAAGCTACAGCTGAGTTTTTTATATTTATTCAGGACATTAATGTATCCCTTTTTCAGATTTTGTTTTCCTTGCAATATTTTTCAATCGAAATGTTTCTCACCGCTTGATGTTTATCAATTTAAAAATTTAAAATGTAATACATACATACTAAAGAAAACTTAAAATATTAACTGAGCAGGATTGTTCAAATTCGGGGTAATTCATCTTTGAGTTTAGTAGGCTTTACTTGAAGAGTTGAATAGTAACGGAAAGTTGTTGTTATACTTATAACAATGTCGAACATGTATACATGTTTCTACCGTCCTCGAGATAATTTAACTCTAAGTTTACTGTATGTTATTTATGCTAACTTATTGATTATCTGATCTGATAAAGTAGAAGTGAATTGTCGAGGAAAGTGAAAGTGGCCGCAATATTCATAAGCATCTATTAAGACCCTGTTGAGTGTCAGCATGGACAATTTTCGAGCAAATTTGCGTTTGCAAATTCAATCGAAAAGGTAAATCTTGAAAGTTTTAGTTTGTCTTAACTGATTGTAGTGCCGAATGTATGCTTCCGTAAGCGAAACCATTCTTTTTTCTATTTTACTTTTTATTTCACATATTATGGCATAATTATTAAGAAAATTGAGAATAATTTTTAAATTTAGAAATATAAATAATAGTTTTGTCAGTCAGTTCCATCTAGGTTAATATTTGGTTGGTTTAAGATTCAAGACGACAGTTGCAAGTAAGAAGAGACCCTAAAAGATCTACTACTGGCAATGGATCGCGGAAAAGTCCCATAAAATCCCTTAGGTTTCCCATATCGGATTTAATAAACACGTTTTATCGCTCCAACCTCAGAATAAACGGCTTGCTGGATCTTAATTGGCTTAACTTAATGAGAGCACATTCTGTTAGCGCAAAATATATGGCTGAGACTATCCACCCATTCCTAATAAGCCGACGTGTATTTGGAATGATTTAAGTAAGGGTCAAAATATGGTAATGTCCGGTAGGAATTCCTAGATGCAACGCTATAAAATAGCACTGGGCCCGGCCACATCGCATCAATTGGCCGCAAATTTTGCCCGATCGCGTTGTATTTTGGGATTTCCATCAGTTTTATGGCTGATTTATTCGTCGGGGTTTCCCTCTACATGTTTCAAGCTTTTACCTGATTGCGGCCGTATTCATCATTCGGTTTGCTAACTTGTCTATGAAGAGATTTAGCCCCTGTTTAAGGAGTTATATGGCCACCTTTACCCCCAATAATTCATAATCTATACCCGTTTCGTCTAGGGCCACTTTAAGTATGTGGTTTTGATCACTAAATAAATCACACTACGGTAACAGCCTTTTTGCAAGGATGCTTAAGTATTACAAGCATTTAATATATTTTTTTAATAATCGTTATGCGGAACCATCATCCCAGAATTAAACTAAGAAAACATTTTTAATAAAAGAATCTCATAGTTTTGATAAATATTATATTACCTTAGTATTTTTTAAATGTTTTTCTTGGTTTGATTCTTGGATGATGGTTCCGCATAACACTGACATGTCAAAAAATCGTAGAAATTTAAAAGTGTTTAACCCGCTGTCCTAAATTTTATTTAGTCATTGATTTAGTGGTGAAATGTCTTGATTAAACCAAAATAGATCGTGATTTATAACGATTTACTTTGCAATAACTTGAAGATTTGGAAGACTAAATAAATTGCCCACTGCCGAACTTTTAAAAAGGTACTTTGTATAACCTTTTTCGAGGCTTTACACTAAGCAAAATCCCATAGTATTATCTTTTCCTCTGATTTACACCTTGAGGACAGTGCGTACGGGATGGGATTTGTAAATCGTGCCGATAAACGGGATAAAAAAGCGTTTCAGCTAGACTACGTGCGTCCAAAAGGATTGTTGGAGTTTTGCAAAAAGCGTTTTCGGTTGTAGAATAAAATAGAACCCGCATGCAACTGTTTGCAAAGTATTTAGGAGATTAATTTTATGTGAACATCGTATTATATGGGTTTTTTTGACCCACTAATGTTTCAGCTTAAATCGTATTGTTCAACAGTTATTAAAAGAGTTTTACGTATTTTTCTAAATTTCATTTTCCATATCTTTCGATGCTACTCCTAGTTGATGACGTTTGCGGTTTTAACACGTTACTGAATTTGAGTCGAATTATCAACTTCTCAAAGCAGGTTGTTAAGAAATGTGTCAGCGTTTCTCGAAACTCAACTTCTTTAGAGAGTTGGTCTGATTTGATTTGCATTTTTTTTTCGTGCTCTTTCCCTTCATTTTCTATTATTGCTTAGCTCGGTCTAATATCTTATATATTTTATGAGTTAATATCTGTGATCGGATGTGAGTTTTTAGACTTCTAGGCGACATGATTTCTTATTACTAATTAAAATTGATTTAACTCTACCTACTTGAACAAATCTGAGCGGGCGGAACTCTTGAACGGCAGGCATGTTATAGACCTTAAATAACATCCACTTCTTCACCTGCGTGAAATGAATGGCTCATAACCTACCAAGGACGAATTTGAAAGTTTAACCCAAATAAACCGGCTTTTAAATATTAAGCAGTAATTAAGGTCTAAGTAAAATTTGCAAGGAGGAGTTTTACGAGAGAGGTCCGTGGCTGAAATGAATATTTTACGTTAAGATTATCTGAAGGGCTTTTTTCACTGTATACATTGAGGGCTAATTGCGAGCTTAGACCCAGCTTAAGTGGCTATATTAAAATTTTATTCCAGATTACTTAGTATATTGAGCTGGGTCTGCTTCCTGATATGGTAGTTTGTAGCGTTCTATGACCGAAGTTCAACATTGTTAATAATTTTCTGCTTGTTTTGCAGGGTTCCTGAGAAGGAGTGGCACCGCGCAGTCTGTAAGTATTGTTCACTTATCTATTTCGGTGATTGTTGAAATGTTCTGGAGATATATAAAAACGAGCCTCCCATATGTCGGACGCAATCTCTAGAAATTCCATAAAACTTTTAAGCGATTCTGACTGGCGAACGAGCCAAAACGTATGTGGATCAAGCAACGTTCCAGACTGTACGGACCATTATAGAGTGCAATCTTCTAAATAAAGTGTTCGTTCCGCCTAAGTGTTTTTCGCAATAAAGTGTCCCACGGGTGCCAGTGGCCAATGATGAAAAACCCTTCTCGGAGTCTTTCGACGGGCCATCATTTCGTCTTAACAAATTGGATAAGGGTTATTTCTCCTCTACATACATTATACTTTCGACTGTAAGTCCGAAGAAAAAGGCATTACCTCCATCAAGCGGCTTAAATGGACACATTATTTTGCCCTCGTCGTGAGGATTCTGGAAATTTGTTTTCTTTTCAATGATCATCACTAAGAGCAAACCTCGTTTTAACATTTTTTTAATTGCTATATTTCCACACGCATTATCGTTCATAGAATATTCCGGTGGTTTGCGCCCACAAAGAGCAAAAAATGCGCCACAATTAAGCCTTCAAAGCCGCGAATTTTATATTGCGTGATTTTGGTACAAGCGAAACATTTTATTTCAGGAAAATCCGGCGACTATAAATATATTGAAACATAAATATTGATTTTTGCCATAGATTTCCTGAAACATTGAGACCGGAGGATTTAAGATCACTTGTTTTATAAACTGTTGAATGCGGTCGCTTTCACCCTATGTTTATGTTACATATTGCTGTTAAGTAGATTTTTTCTTAATATTATTTGCAGCCGCTTATTCTGAAACTAATGCCCATCTATCGAAAATCATGACATTTCAGATCGATATTCGGCTTCCGGAAGGAAAACGGTTTGTTTATTCTCGAAACAGCAAAATTGATGTCCTTAAAAGTATCGTGTTTGCCCGACTTTAGCTAGGGGAGTGTTGATAAACACAACACCATATTTCAACAAGTTTTTTATATTTTTAACGATACGTTTTCTCCGGAACAAGTTCTTAACGTAGGAAGGGGACGATGTTATCACGCTCTTGATAGATCGGGACAAGCACTTGTATTTCGAAAACAACCTTTTCATGGGATTTGTGCCTGGTTTTCTGGAAACTTGTGGGCGAGTTTCCAACCATAATGTAAGCAAATCCACATGCGTTTGGGGTAAGATTATATTTTAAAAATTTTTAATGCAATTATTTAGCTGTTTACTACTAGAGTACATAAGTTTTGCGTCGGACGCTAGCCATCGTAAGTGTATTTTTATGAAAAATAAGTTAGTTTACGTGTATTTTGCAATTTTGATATTGCCATAAGGAAGGAACTGGTTCTCTAAATGTAAGAGAATTAATTCCATCAATTCATTTATTATGGGTGCTTTTCACTAAAAAACATTAAATCTAAAGGGACAGGATGGACAGACGAAACAAAGAAATTGAGCTGGCCAATCGAAGTCAATTTTATCAGAAATGTAGGTGAACCAGGACCCTTGTCATTGAAAATCAAAGATTTAATTTGAATAAAAAATGGCTCAAATGTCTGGTAGTATTTACGTAGCAATAAGACGTACACACACATGAAGACATGAAGAGATGAGTATGAAATGCATATGTCTCTGCCTGGAAATGTGTATTGCGATATGTTATTAAAGATAAATAATAGAGTAGAAAAATATGACTGCACATCGAATTTGAACATTGAGTTCAAATGTTTCTAGACAAAAAGCGTAATAATAGCGGATTTTTATTATGAAATATTTTTCATCATATTTTTTCTTAACATGAACATGAAGTTACTCGCTGACTTTCTGGTCTTGCGTTCATTGTAGGTCCTGGCAAGCTTACTTTTTCTTTTTCAGATCGCATTAAATACTTCAATTTATTTCCAACTATCGAGTACAACCACAAAAAGCGGTCTTTACAGCATTGAATTGACCTGAAAACATGGTTACTACAACGTTATTTTTATTGACCTAATATAGGTGTTTCCATTACTTTCACCATAAATAAATTAGAGAAAAACTCACTGTCTCTGAAGGCAACAGTACGAGGAATCACGGAAATATATTTTAACAAAAAGTATAAACAGAAAATCCTGAACTCTCGTAAATACAGGTACTTTTGTCATTAATTTGGTAAACAACATTTGGCTTTAAAGCAGTTTGTTACTTGAAACAAACACTCAAATCGAAATTGAAGTTTACGACCTCCAAATATTTAAGTAACTGAATCTGACTTGGAAAACTGGATGATTTATTAATTAACTCGCTTATTTATCTTTCAACTAAGCCAGTTAACATTTTATTGCTCATTTTATATGAAGTTAAAGAATTTTGTATATATGTACTTACTTACATATTTTGTTGCATGCAATATGGTTGATTTTGATGATCTTTAAAGATGGTTGATGTTTAGAGACAAAAGAAGTCCATCTTATTTTAATTCTGTTTAATTTCACTTGAAAAGTATGATAAAAATGCATTTGAATTAGCTTATATTTAAAATAGTGCAGTAGATCAAAATTTCCATAGACTAATAGGTGCCGACATGTTCTAACTAGCAGAAATATCGGCATAAAAATAAAAGCTTGACTTTCAAGTATAAAAGGGGCAAGACTGTCTACTTTCAAACAGGTTACGAAACAGTCACATGAAAGAATGACACGCTAGACTAACCGCACGGTTTCGGGAATATCATATAAATCCCCAAAGAGTCAATTTATTGCTTAAGGCAAAATCCTTCTCTTGGGTACGGAATACTGAACAGACATTCCAGCTTCTCTGCTTCGTTTCTTTACCAGTGGTAGAGTTGAATGGAAACCAAATATATTTGCGTCAGATTTATTCGAAGAAGCAAAATACTTCAAAGCTCAATTGCAGGAAAGGTTAGTAGCTCAACGACTAGCTTGTTTTACGTTTATTTCCAGTTTCCTTTTGTGTTTGCATGTGTAAAACTTCGTTCCAGACTATAAATCCAAAGTAAACTTTTGTTACGCCGCTGTGAGGCACCAGTCTGGAGTGTCTCCAATTTCTTTTCAATTTTACATTTGCTTGTAACGAAATAATTAATCCACCTGGTATCAATCTTGAAATTTAATTCAAATTCGCCAAGCAAAAATTTATGGTTCAAGGGCTTTTACTTGTTATTCTTCTGCCGTCTAGCGGAGCAAATGTTCTGAATAAGCTGGGTTTTTGCCATTAATACTGTATTTTCTCACCCAAGACTTTGGGGTTAAACTGGCATCTTCAAAAAAGACCCAACACAGTTTCAAACACAACTTTCGTCATCGATGTTAATCTGAGTTCTTTGCCTATTTTTACTGGTTGGGAATTTTACATTCAGGTCCTATTCATTTTATTTCAATGGCACATTTCCTGCTCATTCCTTCATTATTACGATTACTGAATTGTCGAATTGCTAAATTTTAATGATCAAAGTATGCATTACTAATTTAATTGATGAAGTCCAGGCGAAAGTTTTGTAATAATTTTTTGTTCAATTTTTCAAAAATAACTATGGAGACTGAAAAGAATCGGTTTTATATTTACTAGGCTAAAAGGTGTTGAAAACGCCATGATATTTCTGACAACTGGAGTAATTTGCGAACCAAATTCTAAAACCTTTCAATTTGATATAATCCGTGGAGACATTCGGCCTATCGAATGCTCATTAACCTGAATTAGGATATTTATCCTGAATTTAAATCGACGTTCAGAATTTACATAACAATCAGCATTTCGAATTCGGGACTTAGCCCTCGGTTGTGCTAAATTGCTATTTAAATTGTAAAATTTGATAATTGGGCGGGGTTGACTGAGTGTTACTTGAACATTGTCGATTGGACTCGTCTTTTGAGCGCAATATTTTTCTGACACCTTTCGGTTAAATTGAGAAATTCTTATTATTCACGTCTTCGAAACAGTGTTTTATAGAAGCAACTAAATAATTATTAAGTATTTAAGGTCTGGAAATCTTTGTCTGCTTGCTTGATTGAACAAAGCCCCTACTGTAAGTACAGTTGTTTGCTATTCTATTATATTTTCAGTAACATTTTATTTGATATTTTCAAATGTGATATCTTTCTAGAACCCCGAGCGTCGAAGGAAAACACTATCCGTTTTATGTTTTTCCGTTTTTCGAACTCTGGCACAAATGCTTTTATTAACTTTTGTTTTGCATTAAAATTGGGTAATTTAACTTCTAAGAAAGTAATTTGCATTCAATAAACATTTTATCCCCTTTGAATAATAGACTGAAATGCTCTCAACTTTTGATGTAATCTACCAAACAGTATATAGGACTAGTACTGTGAAAACTCATCAGCATGGCTGTTCTGAATTTATAATGAAGCCGGAAGTTTTTGAACTTAAATCATCATACTGAGTATTAGGTAACAAATTTAAGTTTTCGACAAACACAAATTGTATTATTTAAATTAGTTTTGAAATTATAATATATTATTTTGTTTGGCTTCGTTAATTATGAAATATCTTTAATGTTAAAGACCTAGACAGTTGTGAATGTCTTTATGTTGTGAAGAAAGCGTGGAAAATCATATATGGTCCCAATATAAAAGGAATGCTGACACTATAAGTGCAGTTAAAGTTTTACATTGCACGATAGGTTAAAAATTGGAAGTTTGGTAACGGCAGACATGGTCGGGAGGTTCGACTTTTCATTACTTCGCGTAATGGACACGTTTCTTTTCTACTTTTATTGGCTCTTATTGTCAGCTGTACCGATGCTTAAATTGCCAATAAGGTTGTATTCGCCATACAAAAGGGTCCAGCTTGGCTCGAAAACTATTTTATGAAAAATCGGACGCGCCATATAATTAGGGGAATTGCTTAGAATGCATTTCTGTCTGCAAGCAATATATAGAATCATCAGCAACACCCTTTGTCATTATCAACAATGAACTGTAAACTTTTGTCCTTGTTCCTTC